TAAAAACTAAGTTCACTGAAGGAAAGGTTTGTTGGATTGCTTTAACTGCAAGTGATACTGTCTGCTATCCATACTATTCATCGTTACCAGGTTTCTGTTGCTTTTCTGGATCTGTTGTCTGTCTGACTGGCTTGTGGTTATCCACAGCCAAAAATTTTTCTCAACTCATTGCAAATCCCTAACTTCTTTGTTTGAAGGAACAAAGCCTGCTGAGCTATTTCTTTTGTTTTTCTTCAAGGCCTAAATGATGTTTTATTCTCTTTATTTTCCATAACATAGCCATACATGCAAACATTTTTGCAGAATAACTGGAAGCATCCATTCCCACCTGTCACACATATCCTTGTTCTGCAGATTCTTCTGCTGCTACATTACTACTTATATAGGTGTTACACCAATAACTTGTGTAAAGCAAGCAAACACAAACACACAGTTTGGATGTTTCACACCAAAGATGCAACATTTTGCCAGGAAATGATTTCAACCTAAAACACAAGGAGAAAATTGGAGGTTGTGGATAAGTCAAAACGGAACAGAACCCCCGTGAATCTATGTGGGAGCGTTGGAAGTTTGTGTAGTATGCACCAGGCGCAATTGGCAGCTTCAAATCATTCAGCATCAGAAATCAAACAGTTAAAACATCACACAAAAGTTAGATCTATTTGGACCACCTCACCTGCCCTGAAAACAAAAACAGACAGATTCTACCCAAATCTCCATTCTTCATAGGAAAAACATGAGGTCTATTTGCTCCCTCTATTGACCAGAGCCACTACTGACCAAAAGGGAATACAAGAATGCCAATGTGCAAAGGAATAACATTTTCTAGAACCCAGAAGCACTCACTATTCATGCTTACATTCACGTAATATCAGAAGAAAACAAAACATGGCACATTAAGGGATTCACAGAACAAATTTACATATTTTCAGAAAAATATTAACAAACTAACAAATCTAATAGCTTTCTTCTTCTTTTTCAGCCTCCTTTTTTCTTCTGTCTTCTACACACACACACACACACACACACACACACACACCTCATTCTCACATAACGTTGATAAACTAAATAAACTAGGATGCCAAGGAATGTGAATCTCACCTTCCAAGTTAAAATACTTCAAAGGTGCACGACATCACTAATTCTAAAAACAAAATCTTCTGCAAACAGCAAAGATTCCTTCCACTTTACCTCCTCATATTTGCATACAAAACCATAAAATTGCCATAGCTGGCATCCCAAACAACAGCAGAGAATGGGAAAGTATTCATATCCCGTTCTGTAGGATGCTATCTATGCAATGCAAGAAGCTAAGTTCTAATTCTCTAGACAAGTGCTCCACTCCCTTTACCTAACCGACCTAACCACATTCAGATGCCTTTTTCCTTTTTCCATGTTCTTAGACCTGACAACTTTCAAAGGTAACCAGGCTTATGCATGAAAAAGTCACCATCAGGACTCAGGGTAATTAATGGCAGAGCTAACACGCATGGACGTCTTGGTTTGAGCCCCATCAGCCAAACAAAAGCCAGAATCAATTCAGCACCAAGCCTAGATAGCTCAGCATCTAATTTACATAAAAATAATATAAGGCTTGCTTTGGAAGGAGAAGTACTAAAAAGCATATGAAAGAACAAGTGGTCATAGCTATCTTTTTGATGCCTGCTTGGCAGTTGAATCCTTTCCGTGATGCTGGTTCCCCAGCTAAATTGTGAACTCTCTGGGGGCAGAAATTTCTTTCCTCTTACACTTATTTGGAATCTCCAAGTTACCTGCTACATAGTGGGGACACTGAGCATTACAAAAACACTTAGTGATTTAATGTAATGGTGATCCATTTCTAAGTTTGGTGGAGTGGAAGCAGCAAGGGGCAAGCATGTTCTGAGTCTACTTACTTGTCTAACTATTATGTCAAATGAGCCCTATTACCATACAAATAATAAAGGGAGTGTGTGTCATAAAAGATAACACAGCAGAAAAATCTAATATAAAGTCACCTTTGGTCCCAATCTGAAGAGTAAGAATGTCACATATGCTTAGGAAATGAACATCGTCCAGAATTGAAACTGTATTATTTCTCTGTTTCTCTTAAGCTGTCTGATGGCAAAGATCAAGTGTTTTATCTTTGCATCACTAGCAAACAGCAGATACAATATTTGAAAAAGTCAAACCATGCAATAAAGCTAGTTGGTTGAGTTAATAAACAAACAAAAATGGTTTCATGAAATAATATAAAAGATAATTTTAGTGTCATGATTTAAGAATCATCTACTTACTACATTATAGCACTTATCACTCAGTACTATAATTGCTTAATAAGTGAATTGTTTCTTGAATGGATTAGTCAATTAATGAGGAAAGTGTAAAGGTAGAACATATATCAGAACATTATTATTCTAGAAATCTTACTGCACAATATAGCAGCATTTAATATCCCATATTGCAAACTACCTGTTTGCATGTTGACCTTGTTATAATGTGCATTCATTGCATTCATTGTTGGTTTGGTTTGGTTGCCGTGGTGTGGTTTGGTTTGGTTTGGTATCTGGAACCACAGATCCTACAAGGAACCTTACAAGGAACACACATTCAACAAATATCAGTTGAATAAATGCACCAATCATTCCTGTTCTTCCTGTCAATGTTGAGTGGCTTCTTGTTTGAAAGAAAAGACGTGTCATTTTTCCCTATTCAAAGCTTCATGGTGGATACAGGTTAAATATCTTGATGGATGCTTGGCTACGAGCCCTCCAGGACTATGTACTGGAAATACACATGTAACCTCAGTCTAACCCCACATACCAGATCTGTTCAATTTTTGTTGGACAAAGAATAGCTGGCTTTGAGAGTCAGGGAAAGCAACAGCACTGAGACTTAGCTTTATCTAAAATTGTTTTATCTGGTCCTTAGGAGAAACTCAAAAAGAACACCACGGTACTAGGCGACCAGAAATCATAGTTACTATCTCCTGCTTCTTCCACATATTCAATATACATCATGGCTCCCTTTTCTCAGGGACTTTAATTGATTATAAAATAATCACTAAATCTTCAGGATTCAATACTTTTTTGTCCATTTCCCTGAGCAACAGCAAACCAGCAATGGGATATCAATAGTAGTATTTTTCATCTTCATTGTTCAATGATCACTATGAATCAATGGTCTGGTTACACCACCTTGTAGGTATTATCAACACAGAGCCAGCCTAAATTCCTCTTTGGTTATAAGAGCCTGGAAAGACAGACGCAAGTGAATAGCCTGTTGCCAATGGTGAACCTCCAATTTTCAAATAAAAAAGAAATTCTACCTTTATAAAAACACCTATTAACCACAGACACTCTTTACAATTCATAACGCTTTATTTTTTCTTGGAAAAACTTTCAATAATGGATGTACTGACTTTTTTTAGCTAAGGAAACAGAGACTCAGTGAGGTTGCATGGTAAAGGGTCACTCCTGGACTCAAAATCTTGGTCTATTTGATTCCACTACAAACCCTTACCCCTCAGTCTCTGTGACTAAACTATTAGTGGTCCACAGTATCTTCCCAAGCAGCGTATGATTGAGGCCCTAGCAGTATTAAGGGTCATTAAATCATTAATACTTAGAAGTAAGTTTACATGAAATAATACTAGACTTTCAATAACTCCTTGTTTATGAAATTAGATACTTTAAATGCTGGTACTTTGGTTGACAGTGGACTATTATGAGTTTCTCATTAAAAATACTGCTTTTCCATGCTATTAATTCTGGTTGGAACTGTTTTCCAGGAACTAGGAGACACAGTGTAACAATGTAAATGGTCCTAAGCACCCTTTACCATGCAAAACTAGTACAAACACGAAGGTCATTTTATGTTCACACCATTGCCTAGGTATGTCAGTGTGAATCATTCCTAAAGGCAGAAAGTAACACTCAGACACTAAGAAGTACAGAGCAAGGTGTTCTACCCCTCCTTTCTGTGTGATCTTCTCTTGGAGGCTGAACAAGTCCCTCAGCACCTCTGAACCTTTGTTTCCTCTTCCACCAAAAAGAAATCTATCAAGATATCTGATTGCAAGTTCTTAATGAGATGGTGCTTGTAACGGTACACGGGAAAACTGTTGGGATGTGCTTGAAATCTATGAAATAGCTTTTGTAATGACCAGAAGGAGAGCATGTCTCCCAGTGTATCAAATTCCTACCCAAAGAGGGATTTGAGCAATTCACAGGAAATGAAACCAACTTAAGGACTTGTTTTTAGCCTTCTACTCAATCCCCCTCTTTCTGCCCCTTTTACCATCGCTGGTGTATCACCCTACTCTCCCAAAAGAGTTCAATAACCAACAAATATTTGGCCTTATTGTGTTTTTTAAAATTCCTCCATGAAATCACCCAAACTGAAGAGAAACAATTAACTTAAATTCATGGCTACTTCATACAATTGTTTATATTAGTGACAATTTCAACATTCTCAGCTGTCAAACGATATTACCAGAACTGCTAAGAAATGGCAATGTGACTTTTTAAATTTAATTGCTCGTATTCTTTTAACCATAGACTCAGCAAGACGGTAGAGAACAGTAGTATGAGAAGAGAAAAAGCAAACTTGGGAGTGACTTTAGGACTCTGAACCACCAGAGGAAATTTGAGTTGAAGCATTATAGGGTTTCAATCATTTTCAACACTGCTTGGCAAGCCAAAGCTGCTTCAGTCTCCAAGCTGGTGCCACTGGCTTTTGAGCATGCATATTTGCAACAGGTGGAGCAATATTTTACCATGCTGGGACATTATGAAGGCATGTCAAGGTTCAGATCATTTGAGTTCAGATTCCCAACCCCACCCCTTACACAAAAGCCCTCTATGTTAAATCACTCTTTGTCCCAAAATGCACAATTACCAAATACTGCATATGGAAATAGGCATAGACAAGGAATATGCCTCCAGAATGGCCCATGGTAGGGCAAGCATCCTCAAAAGGAGACCTGGGAAGACCTCACAAGAACTCTTAGCTGCACTCACCTCAGGCAGGGGCACACCATTGATGATCAGATCTGGCTGCTGGGGACCCTGGCTGTTGAAGGAGTGGTGGTAGATGTGGCTGGCAGTAGTGTTTCGGGTATTCTGGTTCTCCACATTCAGGAAAGTGCTCTCAGAGCGACGACAGCCCAGGGGCAGTGTCTGCTGGTGGTAGTCGAAATAGTTGAGGGACGAAGTAAGGGAGGAGCAACTGACAACATTCATCTTGTCTGTCTCCTCCACATCCCGAGGTACAAGTCGGATGTCATTCTTACTAATTTTTTTCTTCTTACTTGATTTCTTTTGATGCCCATAGGAGTATTCAGCGATTCTATGTGACAGAAAAGGCAGCACGAATAGATAACACCTTCCCAGACCATATACTGATGAATAAACATTAAGCACCCCAGAGGGTTGCACCCCATCTCTGTTCCAGCTCCTTATTCTGGCGCATTACATCATCGAGTTTCTCCCTGTGCTTTTTGCATGCGAAAACAAGCTGAGGGCCATAAAGTCTTCATAGTAAATATGCTAACCTCCCACCAACCCTCCCAAAGAAATTTTCAAATTTTAGACTTGGAATTTTTTATTGTGAGTGGCCAGTGAGCAGGGGTGGGGATGTGGAAAGTTGAGCCTATGGGAGAGAGCATGAAAATGCTCAAATCTGAGGCTTCCCTGGAACCCAGAGAACATATTGGACAAAGTAAAAAGTAAGTGCCAATTTAACATAAAAGGCGATAGAGGGAAGTAAGAAAAGCCCTTGCCCCTTGCCACCGCCTCTAGGAATTTGCAGTGTGGCAAACACTGTGGATCAGCTTCCTCTGCGATTAAACTGATCACTTTTAGACTAGGGTAGAGGTTCAGACCTTGTCCTCCAACAGCTCCTAGCTCTGCTCATCCACACCCTCCTCCCTGCCTTAGCCCAGCTCCCTTCTACTTTCCACCCTTCCCCCTCTGCTCCTAGAGAAACCTGATAGCCAAACCCATTTGAAAGAGGGGAAATGCCTTTTTACCTCTTTCCCCTTAGGCTCACTTTCTCCTCTGCCTTTTTGTCTTGCTCCTCGCTAATGGGAGAAACCGAGACGCAATGCAGACACTTGCTGTTTTGTCCTTTTATAAAACAGCCGAGGAGACAAGTGATGGTTAAACAATTACTGCAAAGGAATTTAAAGGTTAGTGCATTCAGCATCCTTCTCCATTCAGGTGTACCTACAAGCAGCTGTGCTGCAACTGGAACATAAAAAGCTCAATTTAATTAACACTGACACAGACCCAGGAACGTGCACCAAAGGCACCAAGCATTAAGAGACTTGTCAAAAGAAACACATTAAAATGAAGTCAGACTCTCAATGTCATGTATTACTTTGCACATAATAAATTCAGCTTATTGTTTGAAAATTCAATCTCTAAGCAATAATCAGCAAAACAATTAGGTTAATAAATAATACAGGTTGGACCTTACAAGAGAAAGAGTGTGTCTGCATTCTCACGCAACATAGCTAATTGTCAGAATACAAAAAAGGAAACCCAATTCAAGCAGCAATTGCAGATCATCCCACAAGTCCCATAAATGAATGCATTTCAGGAAGAGGTCCTACAGGAGCAAAGAACTAGAAACCCCTGCCTAACCACATACATAGAAAGATAGGATCCTGAACTTTAGGATTCTAAGAAGTCTGAGTAGATGGGGAGTTTGCATATCTACCCACATCCACCAAGGCAAATTATTGCTCTGTCCCTGCGACCTACCTAGAGCTAAGCAATTTATTTTCACCTCACCCTTTTGCTCTCTGCCCAGTCTGACTTAAAATGATGGCAAATTGATGATACAGAGGCTGAGGAACAGATAAAATCCCCCAAACCTCAGGATTAGGGTTACATTTCTTTTCTAATCTGTTTACTGAATCAATGGGAAATTCTAATCATTTTGTTTACCCATGATGGGTAAGTTTGGCAATGCCCCATCCAATTATTCAGCTGAGGCATTCATTGCACAGCCCATTCTGTATTGACCAATTATTTAATTAAACTGTACTTCATTAATTGCAAGCCATAGCAGTGAAGAGTGCTTTACAAAATCCACATTTGGGTGAAGTTGGAGAGCACTGAGATTTGCACTTTTTCCCCCAATTCAAATGCTCTCTTCCCTGTTTAATGATCTCTCTGGCAAGCTCTCAGAAAGGGCTCTTACTTCTAGTCATATATCACCAAGAAGTGGCAAACCCTTCAATATCTTTATTTCAAGCTGATTTCCTTTTCATCATGCGAAGGGTCTTATGCATTTACTTTATGCTGAGAAAATGGCTTAAAAAGAGTCCCCTCTATCATTATCTCCATATAAATAAAATTTTATTGACCCTGCATTTTTTTCTCCTATAAAAATCACCATTGACAGTCACAGGTTTCAAAGGTAAGAGCAATATTAATTTCCATTTCTCCCATCTGAAGTGACTTGGTACTGAAGGAAAGAAAAGTCACGGCCATTTCACTAGTAACAGGATTAAAGCATTTATGAGGCATTGCAGCTGCTCTTTTATGGCACCTGATTGATATTCATGTGTGGTTAGCATTTGTCTACTAACTTGTGTAATGCAGAGAATAGTAAAAGGGAAACAATAATTGCATGGCTGTTACATATTCAGGGAGCTCTGATTCACAGAAGTGTGTATTTCAGATGGTGTCAGATACAAATCGGACCTGCAGGAACATATTTTGACTGATTAACATGCAAGCACAGATGGCACAAGATACAGGGGATGTGTAGGTGTGCTGAAAACACACACAAGCACACACACCTTGGCTGGAAATAGCAGCACCATTCATTTTCAGCAAAGTAAAGAAAATAAAAATAACTTTTTCAACTGTTTCGATGAGACACTGCTGGAAAAAAATTATATGCATTATCCTAAGTAGGATTCTAGAAATTCTTAGACTTATTTCTTCCACCAAATTGCAAGAAATCTTCAATAAGAAACTCTAATGTGTTAACCAAGACTTTTAAAAATATTGCATTATATGCTATTCAAGTTTCTACAGATCTCTCCCCTCTTCTTTTTCCTCTCCTCTAGTTTCCCCACCCCCACACACATCCTACACACACTTCAGAGAAACTGTAACATAATAGCCCATAGTGACATCCACTGGTAGCGACCAGATCTTAATGCCACAGCACAACCCCACAGTAGAGAAAAGCATAGCCAACTCCAGAAGACTGCTATTTTTACAGAAACATCTGGATACAGACTTGTCTCTCATTGGAATGTTTGGTCTTCACACACCAACCAAGCAGATATTTGAAAACATACAGATGCCTGACAGAATTTCACTTTGTATAGCCAGATGTCTAGGGACTAAATACAAAACAAGCCAAGAACACTCTAAAAACCACTAATGACCTGCTTCCCCACACACTGCTTTCCCTCTTCCTCCTACTCTCTTTTTCCCATCATAAACTCTCACTCCCCAGCTCTCTCTTGAGTATAACCCCACAGCAGGACAAGGCAGCTGTCAGTACTCCATCTCCTTTCAGCTCTTGTCTGCAAAACACTGTGCTCCAGGAAAACCAAGCCCTCAAATTGTGATACATAGAACTTTTGCTAAAAATATGAAAAATCTGTCTCTCTTGAGTTCTCCCTCCATCCCCTCCCTCCCTCCTCTCTCACTCTCTGATTCTCCCTCCCTCCACCTCTCTCAATTTTTCTACCTTAACTTCATGGAAGACAGCTGTGCAAATTTTAAAATGATAATTGCTTTTCTGCTCATCATCATTATGTGACAGAATCCATTCAAACAGTAAATGATTGTCTTCCAGCAAATTGTCAGATCAAAAGAATTGATCAACGCGGACTGTCACAAACTTTTCACCCTCCACAATGAAGCACTGCGAGTGTGCTGCATGCATTTAAGCAGGAAACAAAAGCACTGGGGTTTTACACAGACACAAATACACACACCTTACTCATTCAAAACACAGAAAGAAAGAAAGAAAAGTTAGCTCTACCTGCAGTTGTAGGTCCGGATCTCTTTGTTGTCACGCTTGCACTTGATTGCCACGAATATCATAGTGACAAAGAGGATGCCAGCGATGGAGCCCAGAGCAATAATGAAAATCAGGGATAAGTTCACAGAGCCCATTGACTCTTGGGCATCAAGAGCCGGGGACAGGTAGATTAGGATTAGGGCAGAGGCAGAAAGAGATGTCTTGCCATGGTCACGGGCCACCACTATCAGTTCATAGGAAGGCTTGGAGTTTTCATTAAAGGTGCGAGTGGTTCTGACTTCTCCATTGACCTGGTCTATTTCGAAGAAACCGCGGTCACCTTCTGTCATGTCATAGGTGACTCGGCCATTTTCACCCTCATCATAGTCATCTGCCTTAACTATAGTCACCAAGTAGCCTATGCCGGCGTTTCGAGGAATATAGACCTCGGCAGTGCCATTGATTAGAGGTGGGGCGGTGATTACTGGGGTGTTATCGTTGACATCGAGGATAATGACCCTCACTGTGGCATTGCTCTGCAGCGAGGGCAAGCCGCCATCCTTGGCCAGCACCTTGAATTCGAATGCCTTGGTCTGTTCATGGTTGAAGGATCGGAGCGCATAGATATCACCAGAGTTGGGATTGATGGAGACATAGGTGAAGACGGGCATGTCTCGCACCTGTGATGGCACAATTTGGTAGGAGACACTGCCATTGAGACCCATGTCGGGGTCGCGGGCAGAGACAGAGAGCAGATAGGCGCCAGGAGTGTTGTTCTCCTGTACAATGACTTGATAGTAAGGCTTGGAGAAGTGTGGGTGGTTGTCATTCTCATCAGTGATGCGCACAGTAAAGGACTTGGCACTTTGCAGCATAGGCACGCCGCTGTCTCGAGCCTGAATTGTAAGATTGTACTGGTCGTGCTGCTCGCGATCCAGCCGTCCATCAACAAGGATAGTGGAGAAGCTTTCATACTCCTGCAGACGAAAGGGTACAGTGCCTAGCAAGCGGCACTGCACACGTCCATTGAGACCTGAGTCGCGATCAGACACCCGAACCAGGGCAATCACGTAGCCCGGGGGGGCGCTCTCGCTCACCTCCACAAGCTCGCTATTGACAGACAGTAGGTTGATAATTGGCGGGTTATCGTTAGTGTCTAGTACGCTGACGGTGACTTTGCAATGTGCGGGGATAGAGTTGGGCCCCAGGTCCTTGGCTTGCACATCTAGCTCGTACACGTGACCCTCTTCATAGTCTAGCGCTCCGGTGACAGTGACAAGGCCGCTGTGTGGGTCAATTTGGAAAAGTTCACGTGTGCGGTCATTGACATAGCCGTAGAAGGAGTAGATCACCTGGCCATTGGTGCCCTCATCTGGATCGCTGGCATTCAGGCGGATGACAGGTGTATTGGGAGGTGAGTTTTCAGGCACACTCACTGAGTAGGTGGACTCTCCAAACACCGGGTTATTGTCATTAGAGTCAGTCACCTTGATGCTGAGGCCAACTGTGCCCATGTGGGGTGGGTCACCTCCGTCGAGTGCTGTGATGCGAAAGTTGTAATGTGACTGTGTCTCGCGGTCCAGGCTCTTCTCCACTACGAGTTCGGCAAAGCGCGAACCGTCACCCCGCGTCTTTATCTCCAGACCAAAGAGCTCGTTGGGAGTGAGCTCGTAGTTCTGCACACCAAAGCTGCCCGAGTCCGGATCATAAGCGCTGTCCAGTGGGATGCGCGTGCCGGGACTGGCTGCTTCAGAGATCTCCAGCTCAATCTGTGCGGCCGGGAAACTGGGAGCATTGTCGTTCAGGTCCTTGATCTCCACCTTAATCACACAGATCTCCATTGAGCTGGACATGACCTCTAGCGAGATGATGCACTTGGGGCTCTGGCGGCACAGCAGGTCTCGGTCGATCTTCTGCTTGGTGACCAACAGACCTGAGCTGGGGTTGATGTCCACCAGGTGCGGAGCTGAGTTGGACACCACGCGGAACGTAGAAGCTTGCCGCGGATCCATCGCGAAGCCGGCCTCCCGCGCGTCTTTGGCCACATTAGCGATCACCGTCCCGGCACGCTGCTCCTCTTCTACTGAGTATTTAAGGTTAATCAGGGCGGCCGCCTGGGTCCACAGTACTGCCAGCAGCAGTAGCGTCGGCAGCAAGAGAGACTCCATGGCTGCGCGGGGCTCTGCCTGGCCTCGCCTCTCCACACCCCTCCGAGGCCGTCGCCGCCGGCGCTCCAGCTTCCCGCCGAGTCGCGCCCCCTGTCGCGCACCCCCCATGT